GTGCGCTCGGGGGCGGCGGGAGCTGCGGTAGAGTGCAGCCCGCGGGCTCTGGGGAGCTCCCGGGCCCGGTCAGCAGCAGAGACGCGGCCACCATGGCGGGTGGGTTCGGCGCCTTTAGGGGTGAGGTTTGAGCTCCCCAGAGGGCAAGAGGATGCATCCCTCCTCCTTCCTCGTTCCTGCTGCTGGGCCCGGACCGCAGAAAACCAGATTGCTCTTATTTAGGGGCTGAACAGGATCGTGGCGTGAAGTGCCATGTTTGCGTTTACTGTTCCCCCCCGTGAGGCTGCGCTCCGCCCCGGGAGCCTCCCCCGGGCACTGCGCCTTCTGCCTCTGCTTAAAACACGACTGTAGTGCATCATATCAGAAAACTTGAATTACAAGTGTGATTCGCTATTTATTTGCCTCTCAAAGAGCTCGTTTCTGATCTTGAACCAATGTGAGTGAAGCTTAGTGGACTCGAACCCGGCACTGAAACATGAGGTCTGAGTATATTCTTATTTTTTACATTTGTCATTAATAGCCTCTTTCTCATTGCTAAGGAAAAGCAGGACAATTTATGCAAGTATAAATTGGAAATAATCCCCAGGAAGCCCCTAGGAACAGCCTGGTAAAGGATGGGACAGTCAGTAAGAAGTGCTGTGGTGCCTGAAAGGAAAATGGGGCAGAGTCGGGAAATGTGGCACGTTTCAGACGCGCTGGTTTCTTCTGGTTTCTTCTGCCCCCCGGCATGGGGGCGGCCTCGGGGGTATTTGAAAAAGGGGTGTAAGGAGCTGAGGGTGAGAGTGTCACCGCCCTGCGGGTGGGTGAGATTCCCAGTATGGATGGGGTCAGAGCTGTTGTGTCTGTGCTGGGCTTTCGCTGCAAAAAAAAAAAAAGCAAAAAGTTTAAGTTAAAGGTAAAACTGAGGGGGGTGGTGTTAAGATTGGAGGGTGTTGGTTTTGGTTTTTTTTTTTTTTTTATAAAAATCAAATTCACTGCAGGAGGAACAAACCTGATGGCAGGGGAATGTGCCAGCAATTAGCAAGAGGGAGGAAAAGGATTTTAGTTCAAGTGGAGACTAAATATGTTGAGGAGGTGCCTCAGACGCCTGGATACCAAAATAGATGCCTATTTTGACCTGAGATCCCAAATAGCGTTATGGGAAAAGCACCTTTGTCCCTTCCTGTTGGAGCAGTTGGGATAAGCGCTTTTGTTTGCTTTATTCCATACTTTCTCAGAAAATAAAAAAAAAGGTCCTGTTGGTCTTTTCCTGGGTTTTCGCGCCAAAAAAAAAAAAGCAAAAAGTTTAAGTTAAAGGTAAAACTGAGGGGGGTGGTGTTAAGATTGGAGGGTGTTGTTTTTGTTTTTGTTTTTTTTTATAAAAATCAAATTCACTGCAGGAGGAACAAACCTGATGGCAGGGGAATGTGCCAGCAATTAGCAAGAGGGAGGAAAAGGATTTTAGTTCAAGTGGAGACTAAATATGTTGAGGAGGTGCCTCAGACGCCTGGATACCAAAATAGATGCCTATTTTGACCTGAGATCCCAAATAGCGTTATGGGAAAAGCACCTTTGTCCCTTCCTGTTGGAGCAGTTGGGATAAGCGCTTTTGTTTGCTTTATTCCATACTTTCTCAGAAAATAAAAAAAAAGCTCTTGAAGTTCAAGTGGGGGAAGCCCATTTTCTGCCTCGGCTCTGGGAACGGCAGCGCGGGGTCAGGGCTGCGGGTGAGCAGACACCGAGGGCGTAGGTCCTGCTGGGAGTTGTCCGGCCGCGTTGGGTGGCTGCGCAGCGAGTCGGGGCTGCGTTGGCGGGCCGGACCTGGGCTTCGGCTCCGGGGAAGTGGGGCTCGGAGGCACAGAAGGATGCTGGCTCTACCCCTCTCCCCGGGACTGTAGCTGCTGGCAGCCAAACTGCAGGGCTTGGCCTCGGGGAAATCGCAGGGTACGGCTCTGGCGTAACTAAATAAAGCTCAAGCCTGAACGCGGCCTCCCTCGCAGCCACACACACGAATGACCTATGGTTTTTAGCTCCTTGCTGGTGTTTTGGTTACCTCATCCGTTAACCACTCCATCCTCTTGTCACGCTCCCTCTGAGTCACGACTCAAGCTGTCTCGGGAATGACGGCTCCGTTTCATTCCAGTTTCCAGTGGGGTGGTTTGTTATTTGGTTGGGTTGGTTTGGGTTTTGGGGGTTTCTTTTTTGGTTTCTTTTTTTCTTTTTTTTTTTTTTCCAAACAGATCTGTTGCAAAATATCCGGCTGGTTGAAAAGCCACTTTGTTTAGTTCTGGTTTGAGTTTGTTTGCTAGTGTCCCTGTTTAGAAATAGCTGGACCTCAGACATTTCCCTGCTGGAAGTGTGATCTCGCTGCAAAATGAGAGCTGGTTTATATTTTGTATTATTATTATTATTATTATTATTATGGAATTCCTATCTTGGTTTAAACACCAGTTCCACCTCAGTTTGACTTTGCTTTCACACATTGGCAGACCCTGTTGCATCTACATTCGTGCTTTTGTATTTTCTGCTTAAATACAAAGCTTTGTTTGAAAAGATTTCATTTATGAAAAAGAATAAAGATGCCTTTTGGTTATTACAGGCTTAACTCTTTTGTTTCTCTTAAGAAACTTGATCTGTGTGTCTCGGACTCCATCATCCAGTTTGCTCTGACTTTTTATCATCCAGTTTGGTCTGACTTTTTTATTTTGCTGTTCTCTTTGTTTTGCAGGCTCTAGCTGGTGCGCCGTCTTCCCTCTAATGATGCCGTCACGTACCAATCTCACCGCTGGGATTCCCAGTAGCAAAGTCAAATATTCCAAGCTCTCCAGCACTGATGATGGATATATCGACCTGCAGGTAAAAAGTGGGGAAGAAAATCTCTTGCTGCTGCTGCTCTAACCATGAACTCCTAGGAGAGGCTGCTGTAGCTTTGCGAGTGCGCAGGAGGCGGCTTTTATGTTCACCTCCAGCAGAGCAGCCTCAGCTCAGAGAGGTACGACACTTGCCGCAAGCCACCGCTGCAGCCCTTCTCCTCCAGAAAACCAGCAGAACTTAACTGGAGAGAAGATTGCTCATTTAATAGGGTCAGGTGCACTTCTTTGGAGGGAGGTGGCAATGAGAGCAGGTCTGGAAGCAGTGGGTGTAACGGCTGTCTCGGCGGGGTCTCCAAGGGCAGGGCTCCTCGCAGAGCAGAGCTGCTCCAACAGTTTGTCCCGTGTCGCCTGTGCCAGCTGTGGGATCCACATCTCTGCCATGGTGGGAGGGGAACTCTGCTGAGTTAAGCTCTTTAACGTTTGGGGTTTTCCATCCAGTTCAAGAAGAGCCCACCAAAAATCCCCTACAAGGCAATCGCGCTGGCTATCGTGCTCTTCATGATCGGGACCTTCCTCATTATCATCGGAGCGCTCCTCTTGGCAGGATACATTAGCAAAGGCGTAAGTGGTTTGATTACGCTTCACTTACTGGTTTTGCATTGCTCCATTCCTCAAAGCCTGCCACGACCCATCACGGCCAGTGTAGAACTTCAGAGCACGAGGCCCGTAAGCGAGGCAGGAGTTCCCTCCGCCGCCTCGCTGCTCTTTGCCGACAGCCCGGGTTCGCTGGCGGCAGAGCCGCGGATGTCTTTAGTGGGCACGTCTGGAGCAGGGTCAGAGCGGGACTGGAGATCTGCCAGCGAGGGCCAAGTTTCGCTGTCCCACCTCGGGTACAGTTTCATTTCAGCGCTGTGTCCCTGCAGAGGTCAGCTGGCTGCCCTCGAAAAACCTCACGCTGGGACCATCACTCCTCTAGTGAAGGTCTTCTGGTGCCTTCTGTAGGAGATACTGTAGGAGATACCAGACCGCTATTAGGACACAGCACCGCTTTTCCCATCTCTCTGCATTTACGATCCATGGAAAGGGGACTTGTTTGTATGATCCATGGAAAGGGAACCTGTTTGTAGTTGACTCGGTGCTCCCCTATGGCACGCTTCTCCTCTTACCCAGTGCCGTATGGAATTGCTTTACGGTTGGCAGCTGCTGCTTATCGTAGTGGAAACAGCAGGGTTTGGCCGTATCGGAAGCGGTCCAGGCACAGGCAGGAGAGTTCGCCCCCAGCACAGCGCGCAGCACCCAGCCCGTGGCTGGCAGTTCTGCAGTGTCATTAGTGTGAGCCGGAGCCACCGCTCCAATCCGAAGGAGAAGTTCAGTTGAGGGTTTCCTGTAGCAAGGAGGAGATGCCAGGGGGAGGATTTAGAGCTCAGCCTGGAGCAAACAGAGATATTTCTGATTCAAGATGAATTTCTGATTCAAGATGAATTTAGATGTCAGCTAGCCAGGCCTCAGGGTTGAATAGTTGAAGCCAGATTTAAGAAAAAGGGGGAAAAAAACCCAAAACCCATGCAGATCTCTCCTTACTGCACTCACACATCTCTCCTCTGCAGGGAACGGACCGCGCTATCCCCGTGCTCATCATCGGGATCCTGGTGTTCCTCCCAGGCTTCTACCACCTGCGCATTGCGTACTACGCTTCCAAAGGCTACCGGGGCTATTCCTACGACGATATCCCAGATTTCGATGATTGAACAATGTATTTAATTGCATTATAATTAGGTTGGCGGTCAGAGCTGTGAGTTACCCCAGTATCGGAGGGGACCTGTAGCATTGTAGATGAGGTATTACCAGTCACAAGACGCCAGTTCCCGGTTTGGAGGTGTTGCAGGTTTTTCAGCTGGAGGGGGGTGGGGGGTGGGTTGAACATGGAATTGACCAAAAAGATTGCAACATTAGGTGGGAAGAACATGTGATTTATTGTAGTTTTCCTCTTTTGGTTACATAATGCTGGTTGCTTGTAAGAAGTTCTTCTTGGGCAAGGCAATTCTAGCAATTACCCAAAAATAGATGAGCCGGTTTCAGCAGCAAAGATACTTGTTTTTTTCTAAGTGTTTTATAGAACTTTAGTTTTCAGTACGATTGTGGTTATCATCGGGTTTACCTTTGCAGACAAAACACCACAGTTGAATTCTCCTTTTACTTTCTGTCCATCAGAAACGCTTCCAATCTCTTTGTCCTGTGCTTGCCTGCAATAAAAAAGGTCAGATGTGCACAAGAGGGGGGAAACTGCACTTGCATGAAATAATTCACACGTCGTGCATTCGCTGCTCCTCTTGCCGGCCTGACCGAGCTTATTTACTCAGCAAACACATTCTTCAGAAGCAAACTGTTTCCCACGCCGCTGTTACTTTTGGCAAAATCCACTTATCCTTTAAAAGGACTGTTGTTGGGTTTTGCTTATTATTTTAAACAAACCCAGTGGATAGAGGGAGAAGGATTGGAATCTGGACCAAGATTCAAGTGTCTAAATACCAAAAATCTTGGGTTAGACTAGTGTGGATGTTAGAGACACTTGAATTCCATATGTCTCTCTGTTTGGAATCGTTTTGTCCTTGTCTAGATAATATGCTGTGCATAACTGCCCTGACCAGTCAAAAGGAAATCTCTGTATAGTTTGTACTGAATAAATCCCGTTTGTATCGTTTTGCTCGCTTCGGTGATACGTTATTCAGCGAAAATGGATTGGTGGCTCTATTTTATGTAAGGTAAAAAACTGTCTTGTCTCCTGAAGTGGGAATGAACTCGGTGTCCTGGAGAACAAGTATGTGACACGCAGTGCTGCAAGTAGATGTATTTAATATGAATAAAATTCCCTATATTCTGTGTATAAATCATAAGCTTGTCTCTCTCGTGTTCACAGATCTCGGTGTGTGCTAAAAACTGTTCTGGGCAACCAGATTAAGGCTTTAGCTGAATCTGCTGTTGCCTCCTGCACCCGATGGCTGAGGTAGCCACGGCAGTCAGCATTAGGCTGTGCTGAGTCAGCAGCTTTGGAACAGCTCCATCTGCTCGCCGGGACCCATGTCCAGCTTTGGGGCAGGGCTGGGGACCTGGGATTACCCTCCGGAGTGCCGCAATCCAGAGTGCCCCGGGTGCGGCAGGAAAACGTGCTGCTTCCGAAGGTCAGGATTGGCCTTTTGAACCTCACACCCAGCCTTTATTAAAAGTGGAAAGACCCCGGCTCTCATCGCTTTGTTTCAGGGTCCAAATATCTGGTTCCTTTGTCGTGCGAGGTAAGGGGAGCAGGTCTGTGTGAATGTGCCTTGCGGGCCGGTCCGGCTGCTCCGGAGCTGCCAGGCGTGACAGTTTCTGAAAGGAAGAGGGGCAGGGATCGCTGTTAGCGCAGAGCAGGTCTGTGGAGGTGCTGAGATGAGAACAGCGCTGGCTGGATGAACGCCTCGCTCTGAAACCACTCTTAAAATTGCCTTTTTCCATCCTCCAATGTTCTAGATTAAACCCGGAGCCTCAGCCAAGGTCTTTTTTTAACTTGCATCCCTTCCCTCATTTGACTTCAACCGGTTCGCGTGTGCCCCAGCATTGCCCTCTGAGGAAGAACTGATTGAATTTGGGATCTCCCTTTCCATCTCTGAAGGCAAGGACTGTGCACGTTCCCTCCTGCTCTGCTGCGTCACGCCGGCGCTCGCCCGTCTCACGTTCCTGACGCTGCCGGGGCCCGCGGCAGCGCCGCTTCCCAGATGTTGTCACGTACCGCTTGGCAGCAGCTGAAATGTGTCCATTAAAGCTGGGTCTGGCCAGGAGAGCGGCTGCTGACGCAAAGCCATGAATCAGCCACTGTTCGGGGATAAGAATGTGGGTTTGTTTGGGTTTGGGGAAAGGGGAGAGGAAGTGGAACGGGAAGTTTGGACGCAAAAAGAGAAGGGGGAGGGAGAAGATGCTTTGGAGTGGGGCTGATAAGATGCAGAAAGTTGGAAAGAGGGATAAGTAAACATAGGGGACAGGAGAAAAACATGCTGACCTTTCTGGAGGAAAGGCAATTAATTTATTTTTTAATTGACAGAAGCAAAGTCCTCAGGCAGCACGATGTAGAAATAAGAACGATCCCTGCCCTAATGCTCACAGGGTTGTCCGTGTGAGGGAGGCCACACGGAAATTTTCTTCTCTACAGGGATTGTTTTACATTTAATTTGGGAAAAAAATGAGATGCTTCTGGCGAAGAAAAAGGGTATGTTGACCACTGGAAAAACATAGATCCAGACAACTGCATTCTTCGAGTTGACATATTGCATTCTAAGTGTGTTTTTTCCTCCAGAGTGCATAAGTTTCTAGATGCTCAAATGTCTATTAATTGTCTAGCTGTAGTGTAGCTAATAGCTGGGGTTCATTCTTCTCTTGCAAAATAGCATGAGTTTACATCTATTTCAAGAGATTGGAAGATTTTACTGCAAACGTTTTGTTTCTCTGAGCCGGGTCCGTGTCGTGGCAGTGGTGCTGCTCTGGTGGAGGTTTGAGTGTAACCGGTGCTGTCAGCTCTTTTATTTGTTAAAACATTACATAAGGATGAAGCTTTCCTCCCAAATGGGGCTGTTTTATCGGTGCCTCTGTGCTGATACATTTACCAACAGGATCTTTTTAATTTTCCTCCCGCTCCTGCCACACTGTGGACCCGCGTGTGTGATTTGCAAGGCTGGCTTGGCTCCTCTGCAGCCTTCCCTCAGCTCCCCCACTGCGCGGCTGTATCCGTCCCTTGACCCCGCTGCCAGATGCTGCCACCAAACCCCGCAGTTAATGGCTCTGCTGCTCAGTTCCCCGTCTGTCAGATCCTGGGGGTTGCGGCTTTGGGGAGAGCTGACTCGCTACGGCGGTGAGGGCAGTAGGAAAACGCCTGTGAAGAAGTTTCTGGTTCTAGAGCAGGGCTTGAATGACAAATAAGGCACTGGCCGAACACCGGTGGATGAGGATAATACTGAATAGCTGTTCCCTTTATTGAGCATCGTCCATTCTGGGCACTCGGCACGGCAGCTGTCTCGGAGGAAAAAATAGTCGGCATTTATATAGCTGGATGGGGCATTATTATGCACAGAATCTCTGGAGAAAGAACGGACAGCCAGATCATAGGCTTTTCTCTAGTTTATGAGTGCTTGAATTCATGTATCCTCAGTGATGTTCTTCTGTTGCTGTTGTACAGTGTATTTATACGATTACATACTTAATTTAATACCATAAAGTTGCTGGAAAGACATTTGGAAATGTGATTGTAGCATCCTCTGGCCTGAGCTACCAGCAGTCCCAGAGAAGTCCCCCCCTATGTATTATTTATAAAAGCAAAGACTCCTTTTAAGTAAATATCTTTTTTTTATTTTTTTTTTTTACTCTGGAGTGAACCAAGCCAATGAAAGTTCCCAAACATCATCCCATCAGGGGAAACTTCCCTTACGTAGACAAGCTGTTTGAAACATCTAGGTGAATAAACCGGGGGGGAACAAACACAGTAGCAGTGGGGACAGTCTTGGGTAGCTGCAGACATTAACTACACGCCCTGGAAACTCATGCTAGATCCAAAATGGCTCTTCCTCTGCCCCTCATTTGCAGTAGCTCACTGTTAACAGCATATTGTGCTCCCCAAGGCAGAACAGGGCCTGTTCCTCTCCTCTCCAGGAGGCTCCTTACCACTGTTGGTGGTGCAAATGCCACCAGCTGAGAGGGAGATGGCCACCAGTGGCTCCTGGCTCAAAGACGCCATGTGTAACTAATTTTCTAACTGTTCCCACAGCCAGTTTCCCCTGAGAAGGGAAGTCAGGCAGCAGACTCGTACCAAGTGGTGACATTCAAGGAGTCAACCTGCCACCCACATGCTGGCTGAGGGAGCCGAGTGGGCTTCCAGGAGAGGCTTCACATCCAGAGACGCTGCTAAAAGCATCGCAATGGTCTCTGCTGGCTCAGGCACTGGATAAGGCTGGGGACAGCGAGGGTTTATAGCAAGTATCTTATTCAATGCTGCATCTCCAAGGTCATGGCTAATGCCCCTGTCGCGAGAGCCTATAGAAAGATGTCCGCCTGAAAGGGGCGCGCTCCATCCCACGGGGAAAAAAGGAGGGATGGAGATAAACTCAGCAGTGGAAAGGAGAAATAGGAAAAGCCAGAATTATCCAAAGTGTTGTGCAAACGGTTGTAATAAACTCTCAAAGAGGCAGAAATGGTGCTTCTTTAGGTTGCTCGATGCGATGGGAGCAGTGAGGAATTTCACCAGCCTGGAGACTGTCAGGCTTGGGTCCAAGTGAAGCCACAACCCTGACGGTTTATCACCCTATCCCCGGCTCTCAATTCTTTGTTTTTCTGGTTTGTGGAGCCAGCAATGTTGTGTTCCTTACAGGCTCGTGATTTTGCATCTCTCCATACCAAGAGCCTTGTAAAGAGACATCATTCCCTCTACAGGGAAGCAGCTGCAGGCCCTGCGGTCCCATCCCGGAACAGGGGGTGTAAGTACTCCAGGCAGCAACTTGCCTTGTGCTCTGTATGGGTTTTGGCATCACTGTTGATCCTTCTCTCTGAGATTCTCCATGTGCTTGTGCTGATGGGGATTCATGGGATGGGGATAAGACCAAGGGCCATCGCTGGTCCTGCGGTGACATAGCAAGAGGAAACTTGAGTTTCTAACTCCTTGTTTGTCTTTTCTCAGCAGTGCTTTGTATTTCCTCTTACTCTTTTGATAACTCCATCCTTGAGGCCTGGCTGGATGTTGTACCACTTGTCGGCAGAGCAGGGTGGTTGTAAGGAGGCTGGGCTGGGCAGCAGGTTACCGATCTTAGTCCTGAAAAATATTTTAGTAGAAGTTGTGTGAAACATCTGC